CCAAGTGCCCGAGAGCGTGTAACGTGCAAGGCGAAAGGCGCCGGGGAATAATGCAATGCTGGAGTGTAATAGATGAGGAGAGAGAGACAGAGAGAGAGAGAGAGAGAGAGAGAGAGAGAGAGGAAAGAAGAAAGAAGGGGTTGAGAGAGGGGGAATAACATAAAATTTTAGGTGTTTTTCTTTTTCCGCGGAACCACGGTCGCGTTCCACGTGCGCGTTTCGACTAGAATAAAAGGTGACGCGTGATGTTGTGTCTCGCATAAATAAGCAAGCTAGACGTAACGCGTTTTTCCTTCTTTATCCGACCCCGCGGTGGTGTCTATGGCATATAAATTATACCCTCAAATCGGGCTCATGGGTCAAATGTGTCCAAGCGATTTCAACTATGTGCTTTTCCGAAAGCATGAGCACTATGATCAGCGGGTCTTCTAGTGGGGAAAAGAATATAGTAACGGGATCTACAGAGGCCCGATAGGACCACTTAACTTCTGTTTATTTACCGAGCTATTTTAAGTTTCTGATCATATTAATGTAATTGACATCAATTACATTGAGCGTTATAAAAACGCGTGTATAATAATAGATCCATAAGTTCAGTTTACGTTAATGGAAAATAACAATCCGGTTTGAAGGTTAATACATGTGTGTATCGTTGAGTCTTTGACACTATGTGTGTGCGGCGTATATGTCAACGACGTGGTGAATAGAGTGAGAAATTGCGTCGCGAAGAGAAGTTTATATTGTAGTTTCATACTGTAAAAGGTATACGTTTTATACTGTAAAAATAAAATAGTTACCATTTACACTGGCAATAACGCAGTGAAAAATAGATACCAAACAGAAAAGAGTCATATCGTTTTATTGAATATAAACATTAACTACATGCCAAAATCATCTTGAGCGTGTGTGTGTTTGTTTATGTTTGCGTATGTGAGGCACTACTTGTATATGAGAGCCCAAAAGAGAGGCGCGTAGTCGCAGTCGGCAGTCACTTAAGCAATAAAGCAATTAAGAAAAAAAAGTCAAATTAATAGAGCAAGACTTAATTAAATAGCTCAGATGCTGAAGTACCAGACCAATCAGTCATTTTGAATTAAAGTATTGTTAAGAATTACAAATATTTTTACACAATAAAATTACCTACAAAAATTAATTGGAGCATTACTCGATATATATGACAAAAACAATACAAAATTTCAAGATTGACATCTCGAGCTGTCAGTTAGCGTAAATATTTGCTTGATACAAAAGTTTTGTAGCTTGTGCAAACCGAACGTGTGTTTGTTCTGCTCAGGAAAATTTCAAAGAACATTGCTATTTTACAAATAAATTTAAAAGCTTCAAAATATATGAAAATTTTACAAAAAAATTTCTATATATGCGTGATTATATTTTTCGCTAAATATGATAAAACAAAGCAGCATTTTATGCAAGATCCCCACACGTATAAAAAATAAAACATTAAGATATTTTTGCAATTTGTCACTCACTTTGGCATTGTGTTAGGGACGTTTAATTACTGACTATAATCGGCCAACCCATAAAATATACATCTTGCGATATACAGTGAGTTTCCGCGCCGTGGAAAAATTCAAGTTGAATTTATACGAGTGTAGCTTCGAAGGGCGAAGAGATCGAGGCATCGGTAAGGTACATAGAACGAGCCGACCAGAAGGAAAGGGTGTGCGATAGGGGTCGCAGGAAGTAAGGATAGGAGAATAGAGGGTGGAATGGCAAGGTGGGAGGGAAGGAGGAACGGGAGAAAGAGAGAGGGTTGAAGTAAGGGCAGACGGACGGACTGACGGACGGACGGACGGACGGACGGACGGACGGACAAATGGACGGACGGACGGATAACGAATCCCCGACAAATGGATTAAGCGTAAATTGCTAAACTCTGTTTAATTTGGCCAAATGAATTTTGTTCCGCCAGCCCTCTCCTGTTCTTCCCTTCCTCTCTCCTACTCTTCCTTCCTTCTTGTCGCCCTTTCTCCCTTCCCATCCTTTCTCCCTGTAACCTCCTCGTTCCTTTTACATGCTGCTCTCTTGCTCTTTCTTACTGCTGCGTTGGCCGGACCGAACTCTCGGTCGAAATCTTGTTTTCTAGCGGGACGCAAGCGAGATCTGTCGAAATCACTGTCGATTTTTTCCCTGAAGCATGGCGACCACGCGAGCGAACGAAGCGACTCTGTCCCCGTAATCGGGCCGTCAGAAATAATTTCTTGCTTCGGTGTGCGAACATGAGAAACTGCTGCCCGTAATAGCTGCCGATTCTCACGGAAATGGAAGGTATTCAGCGCGGAAATGCATGTATATTCCGCGCGTAAGGAAATTTGTCGCTTTTCTCCACTCCCCTTTCCCTCCTCAAAAGCGAGCGAGCGAGCGAGAGAGACGTTTAATTCGCGATGCGTAAAAAGTGCACGACAGCGACAGGCAAATCGCGATTGCGTTCCCTTCATTTCGACTTACTTCCCAACCTTTGGATTTCGCAGAGGGCGGAACATTCTTTGCGTATAATATACCTCCCTCTTTGATTGTCGAAAGTAGGTCGGAGGCCGTGGCGAGCTCGCGAATAATGCAATTTAGTGCATGGACTCTCCTGCGAACTCGTGGCGAGTTAGTTCGCAACAAAGGTACGATTACGAGTCGCAGCATACTTGTTCTGTCTCCATGTGTGTCCCATCAAGGTAAGTTCATAATCTGACTGTATCGAATAATGCCACTTTATGTTGTTTGGATCGTCCGCGAAGGGGGTGACCGTCTGGGTCGCCACCAAAATTTTAACAAAACCAATTTATGAATAAATATTAACCAACTTATAAATAAATATAAACCAACTTATGGACAAAATTTCACCAAAAACAACTTATGAATAAATATGGGCTGTTTTCATTCAAATTGAATCTTTTTGACGTGTGATTTTCACGGATATTTTTGGTTATCAAAAAGTATACATAATAAAGGAAGTATCAACTGCCTAATATGGCCCGATAATTGGCGCTTTCTTGAAATATTAGAATTTGTTTTCATAAAATATCAAAATTAAGCATGAAAGTGTGCATGCAAAATGTGTTATATAAATCAGTCAAATTCACACGAGAGATCGGCGTTATCTTGTCGAAAAACAAAAAATTTCACCACAAGGTGTCCTAGACTGGCTTTCCTTTGCAATTTTTGTGGAAACGTAGAACGGATTGAACATAAAATATTCTATACCGTTTTGTGATATTCGCGATAATAATCAAGATATTAATTAAAGAAGATTGACGAATGATCACGCGCGATATAGTATGAGTTGTGTTGGCGATTGGCGCGTTGGCGAATTTTCGCCAGTAAGGCGAAAATTGCTCGGTGTAGTATTCGCTCGGGCGAAGTTGCAGTTTTCGATTTGCTTTCTGTAATAGTGTGATAATTTAACGCTCTAAACAAGTGAGTTATAAGTAAGATCGTGACGTTACAGAAAAATTACGTTGAGATAATACATGTTGTGAATTGAAGACGCGAAGTCCGGGATTCACGCTATTATGAAACTTCCTCTCGCTTTTTCATTCGTGATAAGAAGCGCCGTTATTTCCCTATTGTAATCAGACGTTCAAAGTTTACTAGATTCTTGTTTGTAGGGTTCTGCAACGCTTTCTGTGTATTATAGGAAAATCGTATTTTCGGGGAATATTATCAGGAGAGGGAAAAACAAATTCCCCTACGAGGTAGATTGCAAAATTTATCGAGGGAAAATGTTGCAACAGTTGATCAACAGATGGTCAAAATAAGTTGGACTGTACTCTGTCGCGCTATTATATTTAACCGAATGATGCTAAAATTAATAGGTCCAAAGTTCGATAAAGTAATTTTAAAGATAAAGTAGCGCCTAAAATTTTTCGTTTAAACATTAAAATCAAATAGTCTTGAAATGTAAGGCAGCCAATGTAGCAAATGATCAATTTAAATGACGAAAATGATATCATAGATAACTCTTTTCTTCTTATTAAAAGCAATATATTTAATTTACAGAGAGTCTATTTATGATTATGGCAAGTAATTGCCATGGATTCGCCCATTCAATATGAAGTTTTAAGGAATTTACGTTGTATGTTTCCAATCTGCTCACGTTGATGTGTTTTTCAAAACAATAGCAACTAATAATATCCAACGCAAGAATGAACAAAGAAACGTTTAAGCGAATTTTCCCAGTGACGTACTCAGTGCTTTCCATGCTTTGTTTCCATGAAATATCAGAATTAAGCATGAAAGTGTGCATTAATCGCGAAATGTCATACAAATCATTCGAACTCATACGAGAGACGGGCGTTATCTTGTTAAAAAAAACGTTAAAAAAATAACTTTACCACGAATGCTTCATTTGTTTTGTAAACTTGCAGATCTCATTCGCGATATGTAACGATATCAAAGGTTATTTAGGTTACAAAATATTCCAAACTTTCCTCCGCAATTTTTGTGGAAACATAAAACGAATTAAACATAAAGGTCCTACACCGCTTTGTGATATTCGCGATAATAGTCGAGATATTGATTAAAGAAGATTATGCTGTTTATATTTGTACATTAAGTCAAATTAAACAAAAAAACCTTTTACCATTTTGCAAATGATCACATAGAGTTTTAGATATAAATTAAAGTAGATTTATCGCGCATAATCATGTAACAATTTTCTTTCATTAATAACTAAAAATCTACGTGGTTATTTGCAAAATAGTAAAGGGCTTCTTTGTTCAATTTGACCTAATGTACAAGCACATCTACCATCTCATCTACCATCGCGCGATCATTCATTAATCTTCTTTAATTAATATCTCCATTATTATTACGAATAAAACGATATAACTGTTATTTTATTGTATTTGCTGGAATGAAATCTTACGAGTGTGCTTGTCTCAATCTGTTCTACGAAAATTGTGGAGGGGAATCTGAGGCACTCTGTAACACACATTAAGATACTGATTATATCAAGCAATGGGGAGTATTTAACGCACAGCTTTACATCAAAGCGAACAGTTGTGCGAAAGGATTCAGATCGATTGTATTTCTTCTGGCTAGGTAAGCCGTCAATTACGTTGGACATAACGGTTAAACGACTACAATCCGAGACTCTGTTCGCGGTCGCGAAAGTTCGCTATTGACACGAACTTTATTCCGCGACGTTGCTGTTTGACTTGACTTCAAACGAAAGAATCGACTAAACAACACCCCGATCAAACGTTCGCCATGGACTTCTGGACGACAATCTTGTCGATATTGGTCTTCTTGCTGATCATATATTATTACTCCTCCCTCAAATATACACAAAATGTGTTTCAACAACACAGGATTCCGCACGGCAAGCGAATTTCCATCCTGCAGGAAATCCTGGATCTATTTGTATTCCCGAAGGCCTACGTTGACATGATCCAAACGGTGTACAATATACATCAGGAAGCCAAGTACGTCGGGATCTTTCATCTCACGGGAAGTTTCCTGATGCTGCGTGACGTCGAGGTGGTCAAGTCCGTCTGCAAGAAGAACTTCGACGCGTTCGAGGACCACTTCTTTTTCGGCGACAACGTCCCGGACACGCTCTTCGCGAAGCACCTCATCGCGCTACGAGGCGATAAGTGGCGCAATATGAGGAAGCTCTTGTCTCCCGCGTTCACATCCTGTAAGCTGAAGATGATGTTTCCATTGATATCCAATTGCGCGATGAATTTTTCTGAATTCCTGGCGAACTTGCCTGTTGAGAAGCGTACGATGAAGCTGAAGAACGTTTTCGGCTGGTACTCCAACGACGTGATCGCATCGTGCATGTTTGGCATCAGCGTGGACTCCATAAGGCATCCGGACAACGATTTCTACGTGTACGGTAAGATAGCGACGGATTTCAACATGTACTCTCTTATGAAAATCTTGTTGATGCAACACGCACCGACGCTCACGCATCTGCTGAACATCACGGTCGTCAAAGACCCTGTTCGCGCGTTCTTCATTAAGATGGTGGCCGAAACTATACGAATGAGAGAGGAGAGAGGCATTACCCGACCGGACGTGATTCAGTTGATGATGGAAAATAGAGATAAGCAAGCGCTCAGCATCGAAGAAATGACTTCGCAAGTGTTCAGCTTCTACCTCGGCGGCTTCGAGACCGGCCGAACGGCCTCGTCCTTCATGGCGTACGAGATTGCCATGAATCCGCACATCCAGATGAAATTGCAGCAAGAGATCGACCAGGTTCTGCAGGATACAAATGGTCAACCATCCTATGAGGCGATTAACAGAATGGCGTATCTGAGCGCCGTGATCAACGAGACCCTCAGGATATATCCGCCAACGCCGATGATAGATCGACTGTGCGTGAAGGACTTCGAGCTGCCCGCTGCGTTACCTGATGCAAAGCCGTACGTCGTGAAGAAGGGGATAATAATCTGGATTCCGTTTTACAGCCTTCATCATGACCCCAAGTACTTTTCGGAACCGGAGAAGTTCAAGCCCGAAAGGTTCCTCAAAAGCAGCGAGCAAAACGAGTGTAACCTCGATGCTTATTATCCGTTTGGAGTAGGTCCTCGAATATGCATTGGCTACAGGTTCGCCTTACTGCAGATGAAAATCTTGTTGTTCCATCTGCTGGCACACTGCGAGTTGAAGACGTGCAAGAAGACTCCAATACCCCTGAAACTCAAGAAAGGTGGATTTCTCTTGAAATCCGAGAGCGATATCTGGCTAGAATTTGTGCCAAGACAGAAGCAGCACAATTATTAATTAAGTACTTTATATGACTGAAGAGAATATCGAAATCACGTATCAGGTGAATAATATTATAAATGGAAAATAAAAAACAGAAAGAGACTATATAAATGGAAAATAAAAAACAGAAAGAGATGTATAGAAAGCATAGAAAAATATAACTTATAGAGCAATTCTTACAATTTATATATATATATATATATATATATATATATATATATATGAATAAACAAATATATATTAATATATATGTGTATAAATAAATAATGTATAATGTATGTTAGTGAAAAACTTAAAGTAATATTTATATTTTTGTACACACAAGCCATACTTAACGAAAAAGTTAGCAAATTTCATTGAGATAAAAATGAATGGATATATAATAAAACATAAGATTAATATTTAATATGTCCGCCTTTTCCTTGAGTTATTGTTTCCAAAATTAGAAAATTGTTTATTAAGTTCTTAATATAATCCTTGCTGATAGTTTCAAATGCTGACTGCAAACTTTTAAAACAGTCGATCCGACTGTTGTTCCGTTTGTTCAATGTCCGTTCCGTTTTTCCTGTATATATATATATACACAGTTGCGGACAAAATTGAGTGGACAGATAGTGAAAATGGTTATAAATGAAATTTAGTCGAAATAATACTACTACTAGATACTTAAGTTTTATTTATTATATATCCTTATGGTACGTAGAATATTTAGTGCAAAACTCAAATAAACATTTACACTTTTGTATACACAAACCATACTTAACCTTTTGTATTCATACTGTATTCATTATGGGTGGTTACCACCCATAACTAAAATTCAGCGCTCTGTACTTTTTAAGTACCGTAATAAATAGAACTAGTGTCGCTATCTAATTATAGTTTGGAGTCTTAACTATACTTTGATTCCATTCTGCAAAATAAGCGTTAGTTAGCTTCTGGCAGCCGTCTGAAATGAAAATAATGGAACTTTAATGTTCAAAATAAATGTACTTTTTCCAGTGATAACTTACGAGACAATTTTTTCCTTAAAGATAAACATTTCAACAATAAAATGCTAAATTTTTATTTAAAAATAATAAAAATTACAAGTTACAATTTTTTTTGCAAAAACTCACTTTTTTGCGAAATATAATAATTTTTTTTAATATAAAATTTCTTAAATTTTAATACCAAAAATATGTAAATACTTTCTATAAATATTAAAGTTAATCCATAAAATTATCAGAATTTTAGCATAAATACTTTAAATGATACAGCTGTTTGAAAATTGCCATGGGTGGCAACCACCCAGTATGTATGCGAAGGTTGAAAAAATAAGTGTGTATACGAAGGATTAATGGAAAAGTTAGTAAATTGTCGAGGGACACAAATAAGTGAACACTCGATTACTCCGGCAAAAAATTAAACAAACTTAAAGCTAGTTATTGCTCGCACGCAGTAGTTACAAACGTAAACAAAATTTCTGTTTAGTCTAAGTCTAGACTTTGTACAAGGCAGACCAATTAGCAGAATGTCTGGAAGAAAAGAAATTTCATATCAAGTTCGTTATTTGATTATTTAGGACTGCTGCAAAAAATTAAGTTATCGTGTGATAGCACAAAAGTAATAGTGTATCCAAAAGTGCGGTAGAAAAAATTTATAAGAAATATTTATCACACAATACAGTGGAAAATTTAAGAGATCGTGGTCGGATTACACGTGATATGGTAGGTGAGATGTAGTAGCGATGCTTATACATTAGCCAAATTGTACAAAAAATCTTTTTTGCAAAAACGTAGATTTTTAATTATTCATGAAAGAAAATTGTCACATGATTGTGCGCGATAATGCATAAATTTTTTTTCATAAATTAATATATAAAAATCTATGGTCATTTGTAAGATGGTAGAAGACTCTTTCGTTCAGTTTAACCGAATGTATAAGTATACGATGATAGACGGCGTCATTATAGTTTATCTACCATATCGCGCGTAACAATTCACTAATCTTCTTTAATTAATATCTCGAGATTTATTATGAATATCGCAAAACGGGGATTTAATATAAATATCGCTTTTAAGTTTATCTCAACCTGTTCTACGTTCTCGCAAAGTTTGAGAATAGTGATCTGGGACACTCTGTATATATAGAAAAAAAGAGGATAATTTACATATATTTTATATATTTGTACACTATGTATATGTATACATTTATTTATATTTGTAAATATATCTAAAATTTTAAACCGTAGTATGAATAGGAAAAGAAATCGAAGTCGTTCAGTGAATCTACGAGTATTCGGAAGATGTGGGAGAACATTATCAATCATAACGGATTCTTTTTATAGATTTATAGCGACTAGCGACACTATGTTTTACTATTCAGAAGGAGCTATGATCTCATCACAAAGGTCAACTTTGTGATTTTTTATTATATAATATGACCTTTGACTTTCATATGATCAGTATTGACAACAAAAAATATTTATCAGATTATAAAATCGAATAAATCCCTTTCTTCGATAAAGAAGAATATATCTATATTATTAGTATATATCTATACTATTAGATCAAATTAATACAATCATAAGATGTTTTTTGTTTTTTACAGAAAATAACATATAAATATAGTAAAAATTTTTTAATAAGCGAACTTTTAATAACACGTAAAAAGTATAACAATTTGTTATACATACAATGCAAAATCAACAAATGTCATCAAGGCAAGTAATAAACAATTAAAGGCACTGTAAAAATTTTGATATTAATTTAACATAAGGGAAATGTGTAAAAAATAAACATCACAAATAATATGTCGAAAATTAACACAGAAACCTAACACTTGGATAATACTGTGTGTTATTTTAACGCTTAAAAATAGCGAACACAATGTAAAATAGTCACAGCGACATGTTAAATTAATACATGAGTATATTAGAAATTTAGCACAGATATTTTCACACGTTTCAATTTCAACGTAAATACAAAATGTTTTTTTACTGTGTATAAATAAAATAAAATTAATAAATTCAGAATAGTATTTTTTTTCCTCTAAGAATTTACCTTTTTAGAATTGGAATCTCACGTGAATCAAGCGCCGCGGCACAACGCCAAGTACGTATCGAACAAAACAAAGCGACAAGACAATGCTGCAATAAGCAACATGTATCTATAATGATTGCCACCGATTCATAAATTTACGTTAGAGGAAAAGATTTATGATCGACCATTAGATGTACATATCAAGCTATGTTTACAATTTCACGTACATTTTCTTATAGTTTTATATTAATCTGCGCTTGTGATGTCCGCGATCCGTATTGTAAACGTGTAATCTAAATTTGAAATTAATTGACGAGACAGAAAAGATTTTCGTAGATAAAATATTATAAAAATTTCCGTATAGATTGCATCAATCAGAATGGACGTATATTACGTGCGCAATAAACATTAAATCGATCATGTATCTTTTCGCCTAGCGTAAACTTGCAAATAAAATAAAATAATTTCATCGATAAATTCAATAAAATTTAATGATTACTACTGCGTTCCGATATTCACTGCCAGTACTGAAGATCTATAGTTTGTGTCGTGTATACGTATGTAGAGTTTCAATAGTGGCAGTGAATTTTTGGAACGCAGTCTGCGAATCCACATTAGAGAAAAAAATACATTACTACACGAAGAAAATTTTATAGTAAAATGTATTACAAATTTAAAGATCCAGTCAAATCATATTTTATTACTTCAATTGCCAGAAAAGTTGGAGAAACCATATACTTTACAAAAGTTAATAGAATACAATTTTACAAGTTAGAAAAATAGTAAAAAAGTATGTACTTATTTTGGAGAAAATTTAATATAATTGAGAAAAACGAGATAATAATAACAAAAAATATCTTAATTTTAAAATTATAGTTATTTAAAACTGCTAATAACAATAATTATTTGTATAATAGGTACTTATATATACGTACTTGGTTTATTATATTGATCTTATTTCTTTTTTTATTATAATTAATAAAACATCTACACTTTGATTAAGATAACATGTACTTTTTGTTTTGTAGTTTTTGTTTTAATATAATATGTAGTCGGCGTTTTTTCCTTGTTATATTTTATTTCGTATTCTCGTGTAGTCTTTTCACGAGAAATTGTCTTGTTATTAGTTATTAGGAGATGCATCTAACACCGTACATATATTAAAGTCAACAAAATAATGATAAAAAAATCTTGCACAAGTTAACGCAACAGCTTGTTTCATTAACTTGTGTAATTTATAGTTTCTTGCGCAAATAATATCAGAGTTTTGCAATCTAATCTTTGCTATGTGAACTTTTTCAAGTATTGTAAATAGTGGCGTAGTCAGAGGGGGGCTGAGAGAGCTGCAGTCTTCCCGAAATTAATTTTCTGCGTTACGTTAAGTGTGAGAAAAATTTTTTCGAATGATCTTTTTTTGCTTGTCAAAAATAAAAAGTACAGCCCCCCGAAACTTTTTTCTTTTCTCTACGCCACTGGTTACTTATATCATGATAACTTGACGCATGCTATTGCGCCACTCTTAATCAGTCGGCTATGGACTGTCAATGGTAACGCACCGTTACTTTGACATTTTGTTACATTTCTTTCTTTTATGGTTGATTAGTAAAAAAAAAGAACAATTAATTAAGTTCGCTCATAAACATTGTAGATTCTAATTCCGCTCATATTGACAACTTCATAGCCGTGAATATACAGTTAATTTAACGTTATAAGTTGTATAAAATTCATTAAGAGAACATTTGATCAATATGGTATACGCAATCGTCTTGTCAGTGATAGCCGGCGCCTTGGGTCTCTACTACTTCCTCTTCAAGGATCTAAATTTGTTCAAGAAGCATGACATACCACATCAGAGACCACTGCCGTTATTCGGCAACATGGCAGCGACCATCTTTCGTAAGAAGTCGGTGGGCGACATCGTGAAAATGGTGTACGACAGGTATCCCGAAACCAAGTACGCCGGCATGTACGACATGATCTCGCCGGTAATAATGCTACGCGACCCCGAGCTCATCAAATCCATCGCACTCAGGCACTTCGACAAGTTCATGAATCACAACACCTTCGTCCGTGAGGATCAAGAGCCGTTATTCGCCAAGAATCTTTTCAACCTTCGCGGTAACAGGTGGCGCGTGGTGAGAACATTGTTGAGTCCGACGTTCACATCCAGCAAGATGAAGAACATGTTTAAACTAATGTCGGAATGCGCAGTCGACTTCACTAACTTCCTAGCGGAATTGCCGGCAGAGCGAAAGATGATGGAGACGAAAGACATCTTTACGAGGTATACTAACGACGTAATTGCCACCTGCGCCTTCGGCGTCAGCGTTGACTCCATGCGGAACCCGAAGAATCTCTTCTACCTGTACGGCAGACAGGTAGCGGTCTTCGATATCACGGCATTCTTGAAGTTCATCATACTTAGGATCATGCCTAGATTGGCGCAGCTATTCAGAGTGAAGGTAATTCCTAGGAAGATCGCCATGTTCTTTCAGGACCTCGTGGAGACCACCATCAGGACCAGGGACGAGAAAGGTATCGTTCGGCCGGACATGTTGCAACTAATGATGGAAAGTAGAGGTAAGAAAGACAGTAAGGGCAAATTGACGATTGAGGACATGACCACCCAGGCCTTCACCTTCTTCTTCGGCGGTTTCGATAGCACTTCGACGTTGATGTGCTTCGCCGCGCATGAGATCGCGGTGAACGAGGACATAAGGAAGAGATTGCAGGACGAGATCGATCAGGTCCTGGAGGACACGAATGGCCAAGCGCCCTATGACGCGGTCAACGGCATGGAATACTTGGACGCTGTGCTGAATGAGACTCTTAGAATGTATCCAGTCGCCGTGGTAACGGATAGAGTATGCATGGAGGATTTCGAATTGCCACCGACGTTACCTGGAAAGAGGCCCTATACTATGAAGAAGGGGCAAATCGTCTGGATACCGATTTATGGACTTCACCATGATCCTGAATACTTCAAGGAACCAGGGAAATTCGATCCCAAACGGTTTCTTGGCGAGCAGAAGAAACATACCATGAACACCGGAGCTTATCTGCCGTTCGGTTTGGGCCCCAGGATATGCATAGGTAATCGATTCGCTCTGTTGGAGACGAAGGTGTTACTTTTCCACTTGCTGGCGCGTTTCGACCTGCTACCTTGCGAGAAGACACCGATACCGCTCAAATTAGCCAAGGATGGCTTCAATATGAAGGCCGAAGGTGGTTTTTGGTTGAAAGTAGTGCCGAGGAAAGATCCGCATCGCACCATTGCAGTCAATTGTGAGGTTGAAACGAGCAGACTGTAGGAGAATTGTTGTTAACTTGCTAAGTCTTGAGGATTTATATGTAAAAAATATTCAGAGAATCGTACAAAGTAATATTTATAACATTTATACAAAATAATATTTATAAAAAATAAAAGCTATGATCTCATATGGTAAGTTAATTTTATGATTTTTTATGAATTAAACAATAATTCACTTTTATACGATGTGCACCGAGATCATAGACGATATAAAAATCGATTAAATTTCTTTCTGCGATACAGAAAACAATATCTATTGGATCAAATTAATATTATTTTTGCAAAGGATAAGAAGCTTATCATGTACAAGAACGGTTACATTAATTAATATAATTTCTTTAATTAGCGTGTAGATAGCAAAGGACACTTTTTGTTTGAGATAAATGTACAACATATATAAATCCAAAAGTCATTAAAGATCTATGTGTACGGATAGTAGCTTAGAAATATAAATAAAACTTTATTAGTTATTCCAGAATTATCAACTTTTGTCCGAAACTCTTCTCCTCACTGTTGGACTTTCGAACAGATTTTATCTTATTGATTTTATTCCGTCTTACTTTCTCACGAGAAATAATTTTCGACGATTATTACACTGAATTTTACTTATGTTATCAGAGAAGATTGTTGAAGATCTATCATTGAAATTATCTACGTGTAAGTCAAGAAAAGAAAAGAGAAACAGCGAGTTGTGTTCTCTCGCTCAGAATTTTAAATCTGCAGCCCGACTCTGAACGCGGACCTCAAGAAGCAAATACATGCGCAGTCGACCTCCGCCAGACACCAACGCTTCTTGATCAAACCAATTTAATCGAATCAGTGCTTCTTTGTGGGGCTTTTTCTCGCATGAGTCTCGTCGCTAAAACACGACCGCTTTCGCTTTCAGGTGCGACCCTGACCTTTCTCAAACTCCATCTCTTCAGAACGGAGCAAGCTATCGTTCGAAACAAGGCTGTTCAAGTCGATCAAAAGGCGGAGAGTCAATTTCACGATGAGGATCGACTGGGCAGGAAAACCCGTCGATCAATCATCGGCTTGAAATTAAATAAAAATAACTGTCTTTACGACACTTGAATCGGCCATTTCGTGTCGTCGCGGGATAAGCCAAAGCAACACAACTGTCAACTAAAGTGATTTCTTGAAAATAAAAGGCCTATAGCGTTTCGAAATACACTGACTTCCTTTGCCTAAGAAGTTCCTTTTCGGCACGCAGCGAATTCCGACCGGGCAATTTTCACGGCACTGAGCTCTCCGGTATTACCGTCAGCGGCCAATCTGTTCAATTAGAGTCGCCAATAGAGATGATAATGATAAGATAAAAATAATGCAAAGCAAATATCATTACAGACGAATAATACAGCGTTTCTCGTGAAATTGTGCAATACATTTTAGCGCCAGTACTATTAGAAAAATGTAAGCTAATTTTATTTTTTATTTACTTTTTATTTATTTAATTTTATTTTTTATATTACTTAAGCGATGACTTAAGTGAGACGTATATATGACGAGTATACCTCAGAACGGTATCAGTCGGCCGTCGGTTGTCAACGGCTTGTAGTTACTTTGACTTTCCGCTTCATTCTTTCTTGACGGTTAAACAATAATCTACAAAAACATTAAATTAGTCAAACTTGCTGCACGATATTAATTCCGTTCGTATCGACAGTTCACGCGAGAAAATACTTCTACCTAACGTTGTACGATGCTGCCTACAATTTAGTGACAAACAATTTGCTCAATATAATCTACGTGATAGTCTTGTCTTTGATAGCCGGCACCTTGGTCCTCTATTATTTCCTCTTCCAAGACATAAATCTATTTGAGAAGCATAATATACTGCATGTGAGACCTCTTCCGCTGATAGGCAACAAGGGACCGTTTATTACGCGTATGATGTCAATGGCTGAGCTCCTGAAGCAATTATACGACGTGCATACCGAGGCCAAGTATATCGGTATGTACTACACTAAGCCTGTAATAATACTGCGCGACATTGAGCTCGTCAAGTCGATCACAGTCAAGAACTTCGACGCATTCATGGACCATCGCGTTTTCCTCCGGGGAGACCAAGACTCGCTGTTCGGTAAAAACCTCCTCTCTCTTCAAGGCGACAAATAGCATGAGGTGCGGGCTATGCTGAGCCCAGCCTTCACGTCCAGCAAGATGAAGTACATGTTGAAGCTGATATCGGACTACACCATCGACTTCGTCAAATTTCTCACGCAACTGCCGATGGAGCTGAGGGTGATAGAAACGAAAGACATCTTCATGAGGTACACCAACGACGTGATCGCTACCTATGCCTTCGGCGTCAGCGTTGATTCTGTGCAAGATCTGAAAAATCTTTTTTACATATACGGCAGAGAGGCATCAACTTTCAACATCGTCACTCTGCTTAAGACTGTCATGTTCAAGCAACTGCCGTGGATAGCGCGGTTAGTCAGACTGAAATTCATCAAGCAGAAGATCATCAATTTCTTCCGAGACTTTGTGGAGACCACTATCAAGATTAGAAACGCGCAAGGTATTGTTCGGCCAAACATAATGCAACTGATGATAGAAAATAGAGATGAGAAAGAAAGCAAATTGACGATTGAGGACATGATGAGCCAAGCATTTATCTTCTTCTTCGATGCCTTCAAAAGCTCCTCAACGTTGATGTGTTTTGCCGCGCACGAGATTGCAGTGGACAAGGACATGAGGAAGAGACTCCAGAACGAGATCGACCAGGTTCTGGAGGACACAAATGGCCAGTTGTCGTATGAAGCGACCAACAGCATGGAATACTTAGATATGCTGAACGAAACTCTTAGAAAATACCCATCCTTCTTGAAAACGGATAGATTGTGTCAGAGGGATTTCGAGTTGTCACCAACGTTACGGGGCAGGAAGCCCTACACCGTGAAGAAAGACGATATCGTGTGGTTACCCATTTACGCGCTCCACAATGATCCCAAATATTTCAAGGAGCCGGAGAAGTTTGATCTTTGATCGAACGGTTTCTCGGCGAGTAGAAGAAAAATATCATGAATAGCGGGGCTTATCTGCCGTTAGGTTTGGGCTCCAAAATGTGTATAGGTAACCGATTCGCTCTTATGAAGACGAAAGTGTTGTTCTTTCACTTGCTGGCGCGTTGTGATCTGCTACCTCGCGAGAAGACATCGATACCGCTTAAGTTAGACATAAAAAGTTTGCTAATAAAGATTAAAGGCGGTCTTTGGATAAAAGTAGTACCGAGGAAGAATTCACGCTAGACATTTGCAGTCAACACTGCGAAAAGCACGGACGAGTTCTAAAATAATTTGTATTGGTTTGACAAATCTAAAGGTTTTAATTTGAAAAAGATGTGTGTGCGAGGAACGTTGACAATTAATATCTAAAAAGTCCATATTATATATAGACGTATTCATAATGATAATAAGAGTAACTGTGATAACAATGATAGTAACGATAATAGCGATAAGTAGGAATGAAAAATATTATCGACAATAACGATGTATCATGATAAATAAAAAAGATTCTGCTTAATCATCAATCTTCTGATTAAGTGTTATGAAGAATCTGCTACAATATATTTTGCACATAGTGTAAATTGAAATATCGTAAACAGTATTTGCATTTATATTCTTATATTGTTTTTCATTGACAAATTATGTTTAAAGATATAAAGGATAGGTTGTGCATATGCGTATATGGTTTAACATATTTCAAGGTGTGTTAAGTTAGGGTTCATTTTTATGGAGAGGATGTGCGGGGGGAGGGGCGGAATGTATTATTTATCATATTTTATCAATATTGTGATATATATATATATATATATATATATATATATATATATCGGGATCGCGCCAGAGATGTCTCGGGATCGCGCCAGAGATGTCTCGGGATGGCGCCAGAGATGTCGCTTCCAAACGGCATCTCTGAGCGTTATCTGGGGAGAGGAGAGTGTCGTGAGCGTGAAGCGTCAGGTAGCTCAGTAGTTTAGAGCAGTCGCCCGGCAAGCGAAAGACCCGGGTTCGAGTCCTAGCAGAACCGTACTCTCGATATTTTTCTCCCTCTGGAACGAAAAGATACGCAGATCTCGAACGCATAGCGTCCCGCCACCACCTAGTGTATATATATATATATATATATATATATATATATATATATATATATATATATA